TTCACTAGGCTTTGAAAGTCATGGGTTTTATAATTGTTTTTTAATGCATCCCTACTTTAAAGTATTAATTGTTAGCTAATGTGTTCAAATATTCTCACTTGTTCTTAGCTAGGACAAATTTTTTCTTTCAGCATTTTCTCTCTCAACGTTTCAAACGAAAAGACTTAGAGGCAACCCAAATATTTCTTAGGGATAGAAGTTGCACGATCAAAGCATGGAATCACTCTGTGTGTTAACAAAAATATGCACTACAAATATTGGACGATGTTGGGTTTCTACGAGTAAAGCCTTCATGATTCCCTGTAGATAAAAAATTGTCTCTCACACAAATGGAAGGAAAGTTACTGAATGATCCCTCTCATATAGATGGCTTGTGGGCAAGCTAATATATTTCACCATAACAAGGCCTTAACTTAGCCTATACCATTCATGTGCTAAGTCAGTTCATGGGGAAACCTCGACAACCATATCTTGATGCTATACACAAGGTCTTCAAGTACATCAAACATGCACCTAGACAAGGAATATTTCTTCCTTCCACAAGTTCATTGCAAGTTACAAGCATTTTATGATGCCGATTGAGCTAGATGTAGAGATACCAAAAGGTCAATAACAGGGTATTGTGTTTTACTTGGTCAAGCACCAATTTCTTGAAAATTAAGAAACAAACTACTATATCTCATTCTAGCACAGAGGCTGAATGCCATTCTATGGCCATCACTTGCTGTGAAATCATATGGCTGACGAATATCTTAAAGGATTTGAAAGTGCGTCATCCATAACCAGTCACATTGTTTTACGGCAATCAACCAGCCTTGCACATAGCTTCAGATCTTGTTTTTCATGAATGAACAAAGCACATGGAGATCAATTGTCATCTAGTACGAGAGATGGTTCAAGGAGGAATGATACATAAACTTACATACGAATAAATGATCAACCAGTTGATATATTCCCCAAGTCATTGAGTTCGTCACAGTTCAAAACATTACTTAGCAAGTTGGGTGTCATTAACATACACTCCAACTTGAGAGAGAGTGTTAAGGAAGATATCTCAAATTGATTAGTCAATATTGTAAATTAATAATGTAATTATTCTTTCTTGTTTAGCCTCTGATTAGCCTTGTTTGTAGGCAATAGTTTAGGATCATATTGGCAGAGTCATTGTATAAAGATGTAACCCAAGTTGATAATATATTATGGAAATTATTCTCTTATTCTACAACACTTTCAATGTTATAGCCATAACTCATCTCACCAATTCAACTACCTTCTTCCAAAACTATACAATTTTGGAAGAGATTATAGCTCCAAAGATGGTAGCTTGTCACACCATGCCTTAACCTTATGCAGTTTTCTATCGCCACAGCCAAAAAAGCAAGAACAAGGTTTACAAAGAGTTTTATTGGGTGGTGACGATGGAGATAGAGTAGAAGCTATTGATGTTTGCCACATGGACACTTCTCAGTGGAGCCCTAATCATGCTTCATTTCATGTGCTTAAGATTTCTTTGGGTTAATATTTAACTCAAGGACTTCAAGGGGAATATAGCCCAAAAGAACTCAATAAAGGAGATTTTTACTCGAGGCCCAGCGTCAAGGCTAGATGCTCATCTTGAGACAATATGACGGCTCCCCATTTAATGCAAAGGCTAGGTATTTACAAGAGAAGTGACAACCGATGAAAATCCACCTACTCCTGACCCAAAAGAACTTTCTGAATGGCAAAACATGTAAAAATGATGATGACTCACTACCCTTCAGTTGCTTTCAGGCAAGAGCAGAAGCAGTACAGTCGGGTTAATTTGCCTATAAAAGGGGGAAGAGGGCCCAGAGACAAGGACACTCAACCAATCAAACACAAAAAAATATACAACTTGCCTCTCAGTCAAGCAAATACCCAAAAAGCTGTGCTTTGTCCAGATTCAGCACCCTTTAGCCTTAGACTCCCCTTAAAAGGACATATTTTGTCTAGTGTAAAAGCTATGCTACCGTTTCTAAATACTGTAGTATCGATTCTCTTGTGTAAATTTGTTCACTACTCGTCCTGCTTTAATACCCAACCCTTGTAAGTACAAGAAGAAGAGATCAGCAAGACGTCTGAACCTTGCTTGACAAGGTGAAATCTTGCCCGACTCTCTTTGTTTTGTCTTTAAGTTAATAGATCTGGTGTTATGATGTATTCCCCAGTATATATTCAAGTCATTTCCAGTCTTTTGATGAACCAAAGTTCCATCAGTTCTCAGATCTGGTTTATTTAGTGGTTTTACTATCAAAAGAAGACTAAATACGATTTAAACTGATGACTTGATCAGATCTGGACCTTCACCTCTTAACCATACAAGATAACTAATTAAAAGTCCTTGATTTCAAGGCATAGAAAATAACTTAATGTAGACTTAACCCATTTACGACAATCCTTTGATAGCAAGAAGTCAGAATAACTTGAGGCACAAGTAATCGGCTTAAACACACTTATTCTACATTATTCTACATCTGTCACACTGAGATGGCAGTGGCACGCCTAAGCACTCAATTAGTTTGGAATGTGAGCCTCAAGGCCTACACCTAAGGCCCCACAAAAGCACATTTCAGAACTAACTTTGTTCTCCTCTTGTAGCATCTCGGCAAGTTGAAACCCGATGATCAACCAAAGTGCCAACTCCTCGGAGAGATATGTGCTCAAGTCAAGGACCCCTCCCAGTGAGATTTCTACCCGAACAAGATTAATCCAGGGTCTTCCCCTGTGTGCCATTTACTTCCGGCTGATAATCTTGTGTCGGTTCCAACATCCACTTCAATTTAATATTTAAATTTTAATGCAGGACTCTGTTGGTTTTTCTCAACAAGTTATTCTACAACGTTATGTTATTTGAGCATAGGTTAAATGCTCATACTTCTTTGGAGTTTGTTGAATTTCCACCAAGTGACATTATTTGCTGATTTCATTCTTCGTAAAAATCAACAGTTTAGAAAAATTTAACACTTTAAGAATCTAAATATGTATAGAGAAGCAAAAAACTATTAATCTACGATAAATAAATAATGTTTTAAGAGTTCTTTAACTGTAAAGAGGGAATTTTCAATATTTGAGGCTGTTGCATGGTAAGCAAATGAAACCATGCATAATTTTCTCAGCATTTTAGGTTGTGTGCTCGTGAGCAAACGGCAAACATGCAAGATAGAACTACTTCCCTTCGTCCATTTATTTCACTGTATTATACTATTTTGTGTTGCAAGTACACATAAAAATGAGAGTATTCCACCATAACTATGATATATGCTTACCATATATCTAATCATTTGTCATGTGTCATTTTAACTAACTCTAGTTAACTTTCACATTAAATGTTACCTTTTTAATTTTGAAAAATTAATAAATGTTAGGTGAAAAGACACTTGACTGATAAATAAGTATATAGTGAGCATATACCAAAATTTAGGGTGATGACTAGTGAGCAAAAATCCTCCCCGTAAAAGTTTCTCCATTCTAGTGAATGGTTCAGTGCCTTTGGAACTAAACCCAATTTTCAATTAATCCCACCTTCACTTTCTCTCAAACCCTTCCAACTTATCTTTGACTTTGTTTCTGAACGGCATCATTCATATTAAGAGTTAGCTTCTATCAAACCCTTTAAGTAATCCCACCCTTACTTTCCTCTCTAACCCTTCATAATCCCACCTTTACTCCCTCAAACCGGCCTTTAACTAATTATCAAGTTTCTAAAAAATGCTAGGTGTTAGTTGGGCGGTAGGGGACTAAGTGAGGGTCGTGACCCACGTGGGTGCCTAGGCAGGTCTGGGCGCGCTAGGCGGACGCCTATACTGTCTAGGCGGCCGTCAAAGCAGGTCTAGGCACTCATTTTTTAATTTTCAAATGCCTAGGGATTAATTAGGACAGTGACCAGCCACCTAATGCCTAGGTCCTAGGCGGTGATTTTTAGACTAGTGCTAATTATCCTTGACTTTGTTTTTTAGAGGCATCATCATAATTAAGAGTTAGCTTCCATCAACCGAACTTAATCCCACACTTTCCTCTCTAACCCCCTTTACTTTCTTAAAGCTCTTCAACTTATTCATGACTTAATTTTTTATTTTAGTATCATTTAAAAGCTTATTCTCTCTACAAAATCTTAATTAGTTTCCGTCAAAAATTACATTTTAAACTCTTGATAACATTAATTTCCATCTTAAATCAGAGATATTTGCTGATCACACCTTCCCATCGAAGTGAATTTTATCATAATTTTTTTTTAAGGCATTTCATATGTAAACTTTGAACAAAACACTTTATATCTAATAGTTTATAGTTTAGAAGCAGAAAACCAACTAATTTGATAACGGCGGAAATATTCACGACTAATAATCAATGAAAGAAGCATGACAAGTCAATTATATGAAATGTTTTGTTTTGTTTTTTTTGTTGAGCTCTTGAAGTGTTTTAGTATAAAACTTATAATTATATGAAGTGTTTTGTTGAACCATTTTTGGGAATTTTATAGTTTTGAAGTCCAGTGATTCTCTAAAATAGTATTTGAGCTACTTATTATACCGTCGGTATCTGTCATAAATGAACAATATTTCAACTGGGAGCACATCATGCTTTGCGTCTAAGTATTTGACTAAAAGAATAGCTTAATTATCTGCCACAAAGGCTAGCCTTCTTGATAAAACAAAGAAAAGGGTCTATAATTGATAGATTCTTGAAATTCAACCTTCTTGATCTGATATATGGAAAAGCCAAAATTTCCACTAGATGTGACTTCTCCAATCCATAATATTAACAGCCAAAATTACAAGCAGTGGTTTCCGCTCTTAATTATGCATGCTTCACAAAATTACTGGATGCCTTGGCAAGATGGCTAAAAGCACATGATCTTAATTTTAACCGGAGAAATTCCAAGCACAACTGATACACAAAAAGTTATCGAAATTCAACGCTACTGATATATGTATATATAATAGAAAGGGGAGAGAGAGAGAGAGAGAGAGAGAGAGAGAGAGAGAGAGATCATCTATTTTTATTTCAAACTTGGTCTAATATATAGATGACACATGAAAATCATCATCATCCTAAATCTGATTCAGCCATGGTTGACTGTCTGTATGTAAGATGTTTCCTGGAAAAAGGGCTTCTTTTTTGCAGGCTGATCCTGATGATGATGATTAGCGCCATGGTATATTATAACATTAGGCCTCATGTCAAAGTCCCTAACAAAATGGCTCTTTTCTTTCGACGGCACTTGATCTTCTTGTTCGTGATGGACAAACAGGCCCTTAATGGCTTCTGGCATGGGCTGGTCATTCATCGCACTCTTCCAGTACCCTCCAGAGTCTTTTCTTGCATAGCTGTTCTGGGACAACTACATAAGTTCCATGAAAAAAATGATTAATTAGTTGATAATTAAATCAACTTTGTAATATTAGTTTAAAATTTGACGAACGAATTCGATTGATATGAAAAATGCTTACCAAGAGAAGGGACGACAGAATTAGCAGAAGGCAAGAGATGGAGAACTTCATGTTTTGGCCAACTCAGAGAACACAAACTCGATATATTTTAAATCCTCAGCTCTTCCTACTCTGAAACTCTCTTCCCACTAGACCCGTTAACCCTTTATAGGCAGCTCACATTAGTCGTTTGTATTTTGAGACACAAATGCAATTTAGCAAAAGTTCGGACCCTCCAATGAAAAGACCTTTTCATATACTACTGTTCTCGTGGCCATTGGACTTTTCAATATTTTTTTTTTTTGGGTCAGAACATTTTCATTAGAAAAGGCAAAGTTACAGTAGGTGATGGATGACCTAAGAAACAAGGTTTGATCGAGATTTTGACTACAAACCATATTGCTGTAGTGCCAAGTATTTAAGATTTTAGAATATAACGTTTTTTTTTATCTAAAATCAGATCGGATATTGTCGTTCTTTAATAGTAAAGATTTCAACTCTTTTGACCATATAAACGTGACAACTTAAACTTAGGCATAGGCTGAGGGACCGACTTACCGACATGTAAGACTCGTGAAACAGAATTCCAGGTGGGTTTATATGGACTATATTCTTGGAGGTGTGTTCGATAATTAATAGTGATAGCACTAATTTCATCATTATCTTATTGCGTCATTCTATCAAATTAAGTTCATTGAAGGTCATAGCACGCAACTAATTACCTCCCAAGATTACTGCGAAGATTATATTTAAAATTGTGGGTTGTTAATTGGGTGACATAACAGGTTCTAGATTTTGTATGACAGGGTGTTGGTAGCTAAATGTCTTATGACAAACGTCCACACATGTTGTGTCAAAATTAATAAATAAATAAATAAAACAATATTAAACTAGGGTTTGCGGTATGCACCACCAATTTGTTTATCCCCAGTGGCCCCTCGCGGACCGTGGCTATCTAACTATCTATGGTGAGCTGGCACAGTGGTAAGGACGCAGATTTTGGCTCCTAAAATACAAAAAAAATAGGAAGGTTCGGGTTCGAGGTTCTAAGCTGATAAGTTTGCTTAACTGTGGCCAATGAAGAGGTTGAAATGCCTCTATGAGTCTTCCCGGCCCTTGGAAGAGAAGGATAACCGTGTCTTGCCACCGGTTGTCCCCTTTTTTTAAAAAGAAAGAACTATCTATGGTGAATTTTTGTTTTCAAATATATATATATATATATATATATATATCTAGGGTGAATTTTTGCTTATCATTATAAATTATAGTGTATACTTATTATACACCTCATTATTTACCACGTGTCATTTCACATAACTGTGTTTATCTTTCATATGAAATGTTCATTTTTCAATTTTGAAAAAAAAAAAAATAACCAAGGTTAAGTGAAAGGACACGTGAAAAATTATGAGGTGTATGGTGAGCATTCACCATAGTTATGGAAGTGAGCAAAAATGCTTCCGATTATCTACAAAGTGCTCATCAACCCACCTCATTGTTTTATCTTTGTGCTCATTTTTAATAAAAACTCGATACCAATTTTACCCGCTTGTAAAATGATATCTAAGAACCAAAAAAAGAAAAGGAAAATACGATTCTCTTCTTTGTTCACCATCTCTCTTCAACTATCACAATTCCTTCAAGTACTTATTTTCTTCAGAACATTGTACTAATGAAACAATTATTTAAAATTTTAAAATAAAATGGGAGACCAAAAGAAGGAATTGGGGTTGGAGGGGGTGGGATTGGGATTGGGATTGGGTTGCCTCGAATTTGAAAATGGCGTATGAGGATGCAATTTTGGAAATGCAGAATGAGGCTTGGTCGTGTGATTTGGAAAAGAGAGAGAAGGTGGTTGCATTAGGGGTCTGAATAGAGGAAAGGACGGAAAGTTGCAAGAGACGATGATTATAATAGGGTTAAAATTTGATTAAGAAAAGAGAAAGTATATGCACACACTATCTCACTTACATTCGAGGCAGTATATATCTATGGGATGGATACTAGATTTTGTTGTTGTTAAAATAATCGATAATTTCTTAATTTTAAGGTACACGATGATGATGTAAATGTGACAAATGCAACAATTTTTCTTTTAGAAACTCATTTGACACTTGCTCGCCTCTCTTAACATATTATCTTTTATTTTGTTTGATCAATGAAAGATTAACAAACGGAGATGAAAGAAATAAATTTGGAATTTAAAAAAAAAGTCAAAATTTATAAATTGACATGCTCTAAATCTCATGTTTGGATTCATAAACATAAAATTTAAAATTTCCGCATGAAAAAAACTTAGAATTTTAGACTTCCAACTCTCAACTTGGAATTTTAGTTGTAATTTCCAAATTTCCTTGAGTGACTTTAAAAACAAAACATAAAATAAAAAACTCCACCATGAGTGATCATTAATGACACTCCCACCACAGATGCCACCACTTACCATCGTCACCATTACTATTGCCACCACCATCACCTACCAATATCACCACCGCTACTACCACCATCCACTATCATCATCACCATCAATACCTCCAACTTCACGCATCATGATCACCAACGTCACTGCCACCACTCACCATCACTACCACCGCCACCACCTATAAGCATCATCGTCCATGCCGCCACCACAACCTACAAGCTACTATAATCACCGCCATCGCTGCCGCCACCTACAAGCTACCGTCATAATTGTCGCCACTGCAACCCACCATCATTATTTCTGCCACCTCCACCTACCATCATCGTCACCGCTGCTACAATCATCACCATCGACCATCACTGCTATCACCTATGTGGAGACATAAGCTAACTACATCTAATAGGAGAATGATAAGTGACCTATATGCTCACTACGATGATTTTACCCTTTAGGTTATAAGCAGACAATAAATTACCTCAAGGGAATTCACATATGTCTGCACTGTGGGTAATAGGCCTTTAGGCTACCAATGTACCATAGGGGCTTCAGGTCTATGATATGTCTTGCCATTGGGCCATACTCGGCCTAATGGTGGCAAAATGTAGACATTTTAGAGTCCCCTCTTGGTTGTCTAGCGTGTCAAACTACTTTTTTGACTTATGCATCAAGGGACCCTTGATAGACACCTCCCCCTTTTTTAGTGTACTTGCCAATTAGGCTAACATTGTTTGTTCTCTTGTAGGTGAAATTTTGTCAAATCAGCCATGTCCACAACCTACACCATGCTTTATCACCACCACCCATCATCGGCATTGCTATCACGACTATCTGTACGATTATACAAATCCCAAGTGATTCTTCAAGAGTGGTTCTTTGTAAACTCAAATTTCGTTTCTAGTCACCCATCAATTTATTTAAAAGAAAAATACTCTTATACCATACATGGCTTAGTAGTTTCTTAAGGAAAACAATTATTTTTTCTCTTCAATATCATCCTTCACCGTCTCCTGCCAACCAAGCCATCTCCGACGACAACGCTTTTTCCAATCAACAAACAACAACTAAGCAACATAAGCATTAGTCACCACCACCCTCCCTTCATCAAAACAAGCACCTCCACAATCAAAATCACCCATTTTTTCATGGCCGACACATAAAACCCCATCGCTGCCTCCACCATGAACTTCACTGCCAAAACCAATTGATGTTCATAATCTGGATCTTCTAACATCGTCCTACTTTTTGTTTCTTAACTTTCATTTCTTATATAATTTATTGGTTTTCATATAGTAGATAATTAAGAGACAAATTGAAATCCAAATGCTAAGCCGACTTTTAAAATTTCAGTTTGATATAGATATAATCATCTTATCTACAACCAATCCATAACCAGTGCTTTCTATTAGTACAAGAAAAATAGGTGTTCAAAGAAAATAAAAAATGGGTGTCCAGAGAAAAATGAATTCATAAAAAAATAAAACAATGTTGTGACATATGTTTTAATACATATTGTGATTGTGTAAATCCTAAGTATAGATAGATTAGAAATCCTTTGGGATCTAGAAGATCTTTCCTAATAGACTTTGTATTACTTGGAGAACAAGTTTCTCTTCTCCTTATTACTATAAATAAAGGCACAAGGACTGAGGAATTAACACACAATTCCTCAAGCCTATTCTCCATCTTGCTATCTTCCCTTTGCCGTACCCCTTAGTTAAATATAGGCCACAATACGTTATCAACACACTTCAATTATTTTTCATTGATTAAATTTTGACTTTATTGAATTCATATACTTTTATTGATTCAATTTACATTTTTTTTTCTTGAACATGATACAAGCTTCGGAGATGGAAAGCCAAAATTGAAGAAATAATTTTCTGCATCTCACCAGTTCATCAATATATTCACGCAATCGACCTTTTCCAAAACAACGGTTTTTATCTCGATATTTTTGTAGCCCTGATAGCATAGACATTCACCATAATGCATGACCCAACTTTACGTTTTTTTGAATTTTAGATTCTACATAAATTGTATGACATTATATCCATAATATTGTGAACATTATGTGAATTGATATTGCATGAAATTATATATAGATCAGTATTAAATTATATGCATAATTGAATAAAAACATGACAATGAAAAATAATATATATATATATGTATATATATTAGGGTTTTTGTTAGAAACCCCTCCCACTGAGCGAGTTGCTTAGCCCAGCATGCTAGGCTAGCAGCCTGAGCCGCTGGAGCCGAGCCAACTCGTGAGCCAAGCCACGGAGCAAACGCATTAGGCCTGTACCCAGACCTGACACCATGAATGGGGTCGCCTCACCAAAACCACGACCAAGTTTGGCCTGCAGCCAAGGACGGATCCATATAGGGACCAGGGAGGTCCCAGGACCCGTCGGCAATCCTAAATCGTTACTATAAATTTTCCGAGGACCCCTCGTACTCGAGCATGAGATCTGTGTAGGTTGCAGTGGCTGTCTTCTTCTCGGAGAAGATGACCGCGCACGGAGAAGAAAGAAATAGGGACCCTTCCTGCCTCTCTCCTCCTTGCTTCTGCCATGGTCTCATTCATCGGTGCCACCCACTTCTCCTCCAATCTTTCTGTGTCGTCTGGTGGGGGCAGTACATAAGCCCAAACTTTCCCAAATTATTTCAACCATCTTAGTAATTTTTCTTATGGGTGAAGTTTCCTTCATAAGGTTAGTAAGATGGATATGATCTGTCATGGGTTGGTGAAATTTGG